CGCCCCGGCGTCCGGCTGGGAGCGGGAGACGTCCACAGGGTTTGAGGGGTATACGTGTCTCTCTTTTTCGGACACTCCCCTCCCTCAAGCTCAAAGGAGCTGGCGTCTCCCCTCCGGTTTTAGAGACGGGACGGGTGCCCCCCTTCCCTCCTGCCGGGCCAGGGGTGTTTCCAACTCGCCCCTCGGCCCCGGGAGGGCGACGCAGCCCCGTTTTGGTAAATCCGGTTGGGAAGATGAGGCACGCAAAGAGCTGGCAGCGGGGCAGACACAAGAAAGCAATGGCACTTCCCCCCTCCTCCCACCCCCAACCACCAGAAACTCATTAAATGTATATTAAAAAAAAAAACCAAAACAAAACAACAAACCAAAACAAAAAACAACCGCGTATCGCTGGTGCCGAGACTCTCCCTCGCTTCCCGCGCCTGACACCGATGCGCCCCGACAAGCACTGCGCAGAACACACCGCCGAGAGACACCCCCGGCCGTCGCCGCTCGCTTTTTCGACTCAATTCGCTCCCCCCATCCCACCCCCGAGCCCACGCCAGCCCCGGCTGAAGGTACGGACAGGCGAATGGCATTACATATTGTGGGTCGGTATGAGAGTGCTGTGCCCGACCGTGTGCGTAGGTACAAAGGGCTTCATCGGAGATTACCTTGTCCGCTGAGGTTGGGGTTGGTGTAGTCCCAGGTATCCTGGTCGTTCTTGAAGACGTTCAGGCGCGTGGGCTGCGAGGAACAGCGGGAGAAGCGTCAGGCTTCAGCGGCGTCACCCCACCGAGGGATGTGCGTGCTGCCGGCGGGGAGGCTTACCTTGGCGTATTCGATCTTCAGCGTGCAGCACCCCGAGTAAATGTCGGCCCCGTTGAGGGACGCCTTGGCTCGCTGGGCGCTCTGCACCGAGTCAAACGTTGGCGGCGTTAAGGACGTTTACGGAAACGGAAGCGTTTTTAGGCTGGGTTTTGCTGTCCGGGAGGAGGGATCCCACCGCGCCGTGTGTCGGGCGTCGCTCCCCGAGCACGCAGGTGATTTGGGGAACCCTCAGCGCCCTCCCCGTAGCTGGCCAGGGCACGCCAGAGCACGGCCAAGGCAACCGGTCTGAGACAGAACCAAACCAACCCACAGCACAAAGAAAAAAAAGCACGAGAGAAGCAGCCCCGGACTCTCAGGGCACAAGGATATTCCACCATGGCCTGGACACCGTTTTTCCTGAAGATAACGATCCTCTGCACCGGGCCGCAGGGGTTGCAGATGGTGTAGAGCACGTCCTGCGGGACAGGAGAGGCGAGAAGCAGTGAGGGACCCGGCTGAGGCCCGCCGGAACCTCCCCAAAGCAGCAGGTGCCAGGGCTGGGAGAGATCCGCACGCCCGGTTCCACGTTCCCAAAACCCTCAGGCTTTCCCCCGGCGCGTCACCCACCGTCGTGATAGAGTAGATGGGGTTGAGAATAGTGAAGAGCAGGACGTTGTTGACACCCCTAGAATCATCCGTGTCCCCAGGGCGAGATATCTTCTGGCTGGTGGAGTAGTTAACGAAGGCGGGGTGACCAGCGATGTAGATCTGGTTGTCCGCTGCGTAATTAACAGCGTTACAGGCGCCGAGGATGTCCTCAAACTCCACCAAGGCTTGTCTCTTCTTGGGCATCACCACCACGTAGCTAGGACAGCGAAGGCCGCGGTCAGACTGACGCCGTGATGAAGCCACTGCCACCGCGCGTGTTCCCCCCACAACGCATCCCCTCACCTGATGGGGCCAAACTCCTGCAGGGCCTCCACGAGGTCGGCCTCCACGACGCCATCGATCAGCCCGCGGATGTGGACCACCGGGGAGGCGGGCGTCTTGTGGGGGTCATCGTAATTCCTCCACGACGCCATCGATCAGCCCGCGGATGTGGACCACCGGGGAGGCGGGCGTCTTGTGGGGGGCATCGTAATTCTCCTAACGGGAGAGAAGGCGGTCGGCTCAGTACGGTGCCTATTCCCCGCCCCCCCCCCCAAATTATACACATCTGGGGCTATACAGAAAAAAAAACAAACCCAACCCCCCCTGGGGAATCTCAGCCCACCCTCGGGGGTCCCATCTCAGCGGTTGAGAACGGTTTTGAACTGGATGTGACCAAAGAGCTCCCGCACAGGGCCAACCCCCCGCAGGGCCCCGCCGCCCCCAAACCTCCTGCCAGAGGCTCTGCAGCCCCTCAGG